CAGGACTGTAAAAGAAAAGGCAAGTTCGAGCAGGGCAGCAGCAGCAAGCAGCACAGCATGCAGGTCATCTTTATAACTATCCATTTTATTGTGGTATAAGCTGGTATTGACTAGAGCCCCTGCAACTGATAAAGCGTTATCCTCAGTTCACAAAGTGTAAACACTGGGCCCCAAACACCATTAAATGCAAATAGCATGACATATTTCAGCAAATGGCTACAGTTAAGCACAGTTGCTGTACATGGACTGGGAAAGTTTACCATGTTTCCTTGCAGGAGGAGAGAAAAATTTGTTTCTGATCCAGCACTGAACAAATACAACTAAAAGTATACTTTCTGGTACAGAAATTTGAGTACTGGACTCACTTTTGACATTCTGCTGTTGAAAAATTATGACTTTCAATAAAAAATAGCAGGAACAAGTTGAGGTATTTTCCCACTTGGGTGGCCATGTTTACTTACAAGGAGCAGTCCTCTGTTTGAAAGCATGTTTAAAAGGCTAGCTAGTTTAAAGATAAAGAACCATAAAAAATACCAGTAAGGACCTTGGAAATGCCCTTCTATAGTTACTATTTGGACAGCAGGCTGAGCAGCGGGCATGCAGGATCATGGAAAGATGTACTGCATTTCTATTTAAATTATAGAATTTTCTGATTCTGTAGCTATGCATATATGTGGGCATCTGCACATTCTATGCAAATCAGTGTCCCCTTTCATCTCCCTTTTAACAACATGCTTCCTCTTTTAGGAGGTGCATAACTGACCAAACTCTCGATTTTCTGAATGTTGCCATTTTGGATGATTTCCCTAGACATTTAAAGGCAAGGGGCAGGGGGAAACCCTGATCTCTGGCTGATCAGAGGCTTCAGTCAGCAGAAGGGAGGTGACTTTTGCAAGCCCTGGTTGTAGCACCTCCCAAGCTGTTTTGAAGGGCCTCCCAACCCAGTGGACCATGTTCAGGGATTGGCAATGAACAGAGAAAAATCAATCACCTGTCCATTCAATTGCTGGAAGCCTTTAGAACATCAACGAGCCTAATTTCTGCAGGGCAAAAACAACTGGGAAGAACCATGGAAGTGGAGAGGGGAAACAGAGGGAAGTGCCCCCACCATTCTGAAGGACTTTTAATGATAATTACAAAATTCATTGCAATACCAAGAACTTTAGTACTTGGAAAACCTCTTTGGAAATAGTCTTCATTTTGAAATGGGTTAAATGCTTTTAAATACAAGATTATACTCATTCGGTATATGGTATGAAGATTTTTTTCATATGAAAGATCATCTGCAGCATTGGAGAATTCTTCCTTTGTGTTTACTATTGACATCTCTCTGTGCTATATGCTCTCAAGTTGCCTCTGAATTACAGGGACCCTATGGATAAAAGTCCTCCAAAATGTTCTGTCCATCTTTTTCAGCTTCAGGGTTGTGGCTGACACAGACAACACTCAAATCCAATTTGTGCTTTTTCATCTAGAGGGTGCCATTATTTTCCTAAGAGGAGTATACTCAGGAATTGCTGCTTGCCTTCTCCTGCTGTCCTTTGATCTAGTTTGGAGATTCTAAAAGCAAGTGCAATGAAGGAAATAGAAAAGTGCCTCAAACATAAGGATGATTCACTGGAGACCAAGGTCAGGATTGCTCACATCCTTGTATTTCCCATCATTATGTGTAGGCATGAAGGTTGGACAGTGAAGAAAGGGAGAAAACTGAAGCATTGGAAACATGGTGCTGGAAGAGGCTTTGCAAATTCCCTGAACCAACAGAAAGATGAACAAGTGGATCCAAAATCAAATCAAGCTAGAATTTGCCCCAGAAACAAAATGGCTAAAATGAAGCTGTTGTATTTTGGGAAAACGCAAGACTCACTGAAGAAGACAATTACCCTGGGGAAAGCCAAAGGCAGAAGGAAAAAAGAAAGACCAAATATGAGATGGATTGACTCCATGAAAGAAGCCACAGCCTTGAGTTTACAAGAGCTGAGCAGGGTGTGAAGGACAAGGCACTCTGGAGGGTATTCATTTGTAGGCAGACTTCCTGGCAGCATGTGCCAACAGAAGCAATTATCCTTTTTGACTTGGTCTTTCCACTGTGGTCAAATCTTTTCATTTCTCTCCTCATACAATGGTGACACCCTTCTACAGTCTGTATATACTATTTAAAAATTCAGAAAGCTTAACTCAATAGCCAACTATGCTGCTAATTTTTAATATTTGGCCGGTTCACATGACGTGATGACCTACAGTGGTTTTCAGTGCAGGGTGGTCTGTTGTGCCAAACCCCATTGTGGTATTTCAGCATTGCATGTTTGGCTCTTAGAAACCATAAAAACCCACAGTCTGCTCTGTGGCTTCCATGCATCACTATGGTTTCTTCAGTTCTGAATCTAGCACTATGGTTTCCATAGTCCCTTGGAAAGAGTGGCAGCTGCAGGAGCTGCTCCAGCCATCCAGCATGGAATTGAATTTCAGGTTCTGTGGCTGATAGGCTATACGCCAGCAATAGCAGGACTGTGTAAATAGGGTAGAATCTATAGGAACCACCCAATGATTGCCTGTCAAGGACCACCAGGCCAAAATCCACAAAGTGAAGGTGTTTGCTGCGGTGTGAACACACCCATTGCGATTGTTTGTCCATATGCTTTTTGTGATTTCAAATTTTACCTTCTTCCCCTTCTGTTTTTTAGAAGGTGCAGCAATTTGCATCCAGTTTAGTTCTGAGTATATTGGTACTTTTGCTTGTACAAAAAAAGTGTGTGGGGGGATTTAATACTTTTGAGGCTGGAAAGTTATGGGAGCAGGGGGATTGTGTGTTTTTGTGAGAAATAGCACAATTCTGTATGTGTGGTTTTATGTGATGCATTTGTGCTAGTGTTAAAATAGATCTAGGTTTGATAAGCAGTGCATTGCATGTTTATCCTACCATTTCATGTCCCCTACCTCTACTTGGAAGCCCCTCTCTACCACATGGCTTGGATATTTGTGGGGATTTTACATTTCTAGCCAGTCTCCTTGCCTGTGTGTGAATCAGGAAGGAATTGTGGTGGCAGGCAATGACTGATACTGCTGAAGCATACAGGAAAACCTGCTGGTGATACTAATAGCACTGGCTGCATAGTTTTAGATTTCAACTCTTACCATATTTTCAGCAATAATTGTAGAACCCAGTATCAATTAACAATGAGTGATTAATTCTTCTTCAGCTGAAGGCCTCCAGCTGTGTTGGATTATATCCCATCCTGCTCATCTCCAGATATTTTCCATGGTAACTAGAGTGACGTGGACTATAGTCTAACCTATTTGGAGGGTGCCAGCACTGGATCAATTAATTTTCTCAGTCACCAAGTGCCACTAGACTCTTGCATTTACCGAAATGATTATTTCAATGAGGGTGACCAACTCAGAGCAGCTCAGTTTTATGAGTACATAAATGTTTATACATCCTAAATGCTTGCATATACGGTCCAGCAGTGTCAACCTAAATCAGGACGTTTTCAACTAGCTCTTTATGTGAACAAAAGGTACTTGCCCACACTACTAACCCTCTTCCATATTTGCAAAAGTCTTACCTCAAGCAGGAAAGGTGCACTGCCTATCTAAACTCCTAAATATAACCCTGAGAAAGTAAGTCAGCTACCCACTTGTGTGTACAACACCCAATATATGTAGGTTCATGCTAGATGCAGCTACTGAATTTGTATGTATTCCAGAACAGCAGATTAATGGGCACAATGGTAATTTACACCCAAGTCAGCCAAGCTCTTGCTTTAATGCTATGCAACTTGGAACCAGTATGACATCGTGCACAAGTGATGCACAGGGACTCAGGAGATCCAGCTTCTAGTCCCTATTTAGCCATGAAGCGTATTGGGTGACACTGGACCTGTCACTGACCCTTAGCCTAGCTTACCTCACAGGTTTGTCATTGTACAAATAAAATGGAATACAGGACTACATAAGCTACCTTGGGTTCCTCACAAGAGAGGGAGAAAGGCAGGCTAAAAAATGTAATAAAGATGGAAATAACTTTATGAATTGCTTGAGGTTGCTAGTTGTACATCTGTACGTGCAAAAGGTATTTGCAGACCTGAGGCTTGTTGCCACAGAACTCAAAGGTTTCTTTGCTGGCTTTCAATTCTAAGGAGCAAGTGGCAACATCTATACTAAGTTGAAAAAAACCATACAGTACCAAGTCGATGCAAGTTCATGTGCAGGACAGGCCTATTTGAGCCCACTGGTTATTTCCAGCTATGGTGTTATATACTAACACTATAGTCCAGTGTCAGTATGTTCCCACGCCCATGCTTGATTTGTGATGAGAATACCATATAGCCAACAGACCATTATCTATCCACATAGCAGGAGTTACTAAAAGGTACAGTAAGCATCTAGTCTTTCATTGGATATGTTCATGTTCTGTAACTGTCTTGAACTACTGCAACTGAGAAGCAAGTCATGCTTTATACAGTACCTATGTACAGTTGGAACTGTATAGGCTCAATTCTACAGCTGCAGTTTTAAACTTCCAATTGAGAATGGCTCCATACTATGTTTTTTTCCCCTGTGCCTAACCTATTTTTCTGTGAAAGACAAGTAATAGAATACTAGATGGATGTTGATTTGGGGACATATGACCCAGCATCTTTCAGTAAGCAAAGATAAATGCTGCTTCTGGATAGCACCTGTATTTAGGCATTATCTTCCACAACCTGCAGCAGGCCATGTCAGGATTTACAATTGTCAGAGGCACCCAAGGTAATGGTCAAAAATGAACTAGAGAAAATGGCAGGACTCTCCGCCCCTCCAATTATATAGCATTTGGGGAAAGGGGAAAAATGCCTAGCTAGAGAATATCTGATAAAAAGCCCCACACAGGTGCAGAGCCCTTGTGTGTGATGCAGAGAGACCATGAAGAAGAGCCCTTGACTGGGCTCTGTTCATTACTGTTGCTCATGCAACAGAAAATGGCTTTTCCCAAGGTAAGAAACAAAACATCTCCACAATATTTTTCCAATTGTTTATTTTCATTTTTATTTATTTAAAAGCCAGAACAAGACATTTTAAAGTTCTAAAATTCTTATTAAAATTACTAGAAGTGCACTTAGAATACAAGAACAAAAACATCTGAGATGTTCCTGGACAAGGATACCCAGCTCCTATGAATCCCATAGGTGCTTTGCAAAATCTTCTCACTTGACATAGTGAGAAACAACAGCCAGGATCCAAAGAGGCCCACATGCATGCAGAAGGCACTTCTGTGCATATATGAACAGCCAATTTTCCTTTCTAGCTACTGTTCTTCCTATCATACTACACAGTTTTCTCCTGACTTTCATCACCTGCTTTGAGAATGGGTGTGAAGGTGGTGGCACACAAGGAACAATGGTAGGAAGGGGACATTTGAAAAAGGCCCAAGACACTACAGACCTTCTTTGCACCTTAGCCACCAAATAAATAACACTAATGCTTCATGAAAAACTCTTGATTGGGATGCAATCCTAGCAGCCAAGAACTCTAAGAGGCTTTAAGACAGGATTAAGTGGTCTCCAGACAACAAACTTTCCAAAAGTTAGCATGAGCAGCAGGCAGTAAGACTGCTTCAAACGTCAGGACACTAATAGAAGTATCATGACATTTTTGGCTCAAGGCCATCAATACACTGTAAGGAACCGTTTTCCAGAGATCTCTCACACACATTTTAGCCTCAGATTTTCACACTGTGTGACTGCTGGGCTAAGAAGGTATACATCAGTTTATGTAAATCAGTATTAGCTCCTTGTTTTGTGTCAGGTTAAAATGCTTAGTGCAAAAAGTTGTCTTAAACACAAAGAATTTGATTGTACCACAGATGCATCAACCACCTAAGGAATATGGTGCAATTTCATACACACTTTGGACACAAGGTCATTGCAACTGAATATAATCTTTCAGTGTGCCACCATAACAACAGATTTACATACCAACCAGTAGTTAGTTATTCAAGACTAATGTGTTAGACATCCTATGTGGCAGTACACTCAGAAGTGTTCACCTCACCCAAAGAACTCCGGCAAGTTTCCTCACAGGAACTACATTATCCAGCTGCTCATACATTGCCTGTAAGGTCATGGAGTGAGACTGCATCTACTGGCCACATCCTCAACCTGTGCTCATTCAGCATAAGTAAAGAATGGGGCCAAAGTTGTAGAATGTGTTGCACATGATCAGGATTTGCAGCGCCCTGTTCCTGTCTTCCACAAAATACAAAGAAATCAGAACCAGTGGGCACCACTTTGCACCTCACTCGTGTGTTCATGGGTGAGAAGGCAAGAACAAGATTAGAGTCTTTAGATGACAAGAACCAATAAAAAACCAGACCTTGGATTCTCTGTATTACAGGCTTCTTAACTACAGCAGCCTATGGATTCAAGCTGTAGCCATATGTATGAATTCCGTAAGCACATGGACACTGCATTGCCTGCTTGAAATTTGCACACAATTACATTCCATTTTTGTATTGGATATAGAAAAGTAATTTACACAAAGCGCAATAGTCTATTTGTTATGTCTTAGGAATCAGGTGCCAGAGTTTACCCCAATTTGCTATCAAATTGTTTTGAACTGTAGGCACAGAGGTAGAAATATACAAGGGTTATTGGAGTTTAGGAAGCCAAAAATGAAATCCTTAATTCATCTGTCTTCCAAAAAAATCTACTCAACAATCCTCACATACTTCAAAGTTAAACTCTGCACAGATGCCAGATGTATCAAGGTATCAAGACAAAAAAATCAACCTTGGCTGACTCCCTCTAAAATTGTGCTGTGCAGTTCCTGATGTTAGAAATACACAACAGAAAAAGTGAAAGAACATACAATGGGAACCACAAATTGTTCAGGGGAGGACACCAACTTTTCCAAGTCTGCATTTAGAGTCAAATTCACTACTTCTATAGAGAAATCAAGAAATGATAGGTTCAAATATTGGAAGCAAGCATTCAAGAGAGATTTCATGTACCTGGGACACTTGGGTTTCTAATGATTGATCCCTGTTAAAACAGCACAATATTAGAGGATGCTCATAGGCTAAAATTATTGCTAAGATCTTGATGATTTTAATTTGTAAGCCTTAAAAGCTGTTGAAAAAAACAAAGCAGAAAAAATGCTTAATATTTAATTTGAAAGAACAAAGATACCCTGCAACAGGTGAGCAGCAAGGAAAGAACCACTAGAAAAAGCCAAGTGACACGTATGGAGACAGTAGGAGCAAGGACCAAGAAAGACTCCTCATGTTAAGTACGTGAATGTCAAAAAAACTTTGGGTAAGAAGTGTCTCGAATATTTTTCCCCAATGGAAGCCAAGTGTTAACAAGTTTCTTGCTTTTTTCACTTGTCCCTCAAGGAACGCAAGAGAACTTGAGCCATCATATCATCTTCATCAGCATCATAGTCCTAAACACAGAACACAAGGAAAGTACATGTGACTACACAAACACTGCTCCTGTTTTAGAACTGTTCTTCACATAGCCAGATTTCTTCCACTTCTAGTTTTTCTAGCAGCAGGATAAAGTGACATTGATCCAGATTGGTTCCCCTCATGTTTTATGGATGCTCAGAGCACAATTGTGGTAGCTTAACTCACTGAGCCCTTGTATGGACTGATCTGTGAAGAGTCATGCCATCTCATTAAAGGACAAATTAAAGGTTGTACTATTTTGTAGATCCAGTGTGGTAGTGTGAGTGCTGGACTGAGAGATCTGGGTTTCTAGCTCCCACTCCAGCCATGAAGCACACTCAGTGACTTGGGCCAGCCAGACACTCAGCCCAGTGTACCTCACAAACTTGTTGTGAAGATAAAATGGAGCTATGTAAGCTGCCTTCAGTTCCTCACAAGAGAAAAAAAGGCTGGGATATAAATGAAATACAGCAGTAGAGGGAAAACCTCATTAGAACAAGGCATTGCACAAACAAATGTTGAAGTTCCAAGCACTCTGAGGAGCAGGTTTCTCAATTACTACTTACCACAAAAGTGTCATAAGAAAACTGATGCCGTCGCTGAAGATGTTCCATGAAGTTAGCACTTCTATAGTTTGGATCACCCCATGGCATTGATGCACAAATGGGGCAAACCTAGAAGAGTTAATAGTTTAATTGGGTAAAACATCTTCCCTTTTGCATTTTGCATCTGATCAGCAGATAGCCACTAAAATGATTTTCAAAGGCTTTTATATCCATAGAACCCCAAAGAACAATAAGCATAGAAGAGTTATGCTCATACAAGCGGGGCTTCTGTTTTCCATCAAGTTATCTTCCTTCTCCATATGCTGCATATTGTACCAAGTACTTTGTGGCCTTCAAATTATTTTTTCAGCAGACGCAGGAAGATGCAGCAGGACAGGAAGGTGGAAAAGTCCTGATGAGTAAGCAGAGTTTGTGGTTCTTTGGACACAAACCAAAATATTTGATGTGCATCCCCCCAAAAAAATTACTTAGAAAGCAAACCCTGCTAATAATAATATTCGGCTATATAAAGCAGCACTATAGAACTAACACAAATTAGCAGTGCATTGGATGCTTTAGCCTTGGCAGAAAACATCTGATTAAGGTTAAAAATCCAAATGCCGGAAGAAATTGTTATCAAGACATAGCGCTGAAGGCACTTTGCTCCTTTTCAAAAAGTATATATGCTTCTGAACGTCACTAGTGTGAATTCCCTCGTCTTTTTGGTAAAAAGCAAAACAAAAAAACTTTGAACATTTGAGTTGGAGAATGCTGATCTCAACAAGGTTTCATCATGAGAACAGCCTGATCTGTTCAATTTAGACCATAAGCCACCAGGAAAAGCAGATCAATTACCACGCGCTTTGCATCCATACTGTGATACTTTCTGCAGTGCTCTACCAGGCCTTCCTGATCCAGATTTCTCTCATTGCAGTAAGGGCAAGGAAATGTAAACCTATTTGGAATGCTCCTGCAGAAACAGAGGATAATCCCTTTACTTTTACTGAAAGTTTACATAAAGCAAAATTTTATCCAACCACAATTAGGAAGAATAAAAGTCTACACAATATATTTCAGTTTCTCTTTCCACAAAGCACCCCCAAGTTTATGTCAGCTCATCAGAGAAAAGTGTCTCAACCAAGAATACCCAATACAGATATCCTTCTGTGAACTTTCACCTGTACTGAAGTTTGGGTAAAACAACAGCATATCAGAAAGGCTGTCAGGCAGAATATGGAGCAGAATTGTTCTGCTGCTTATCTAAGCCAGAAGTTCAGAGGTCTCACACTACCCTACTGTCTAAGTGTAACTCATTATCTCCCGCCATGCAATTTGCTGGTGAGATTTTAAGATCTCATATAATATCTCTTTGGGATGCTGTCAGTTCCATTTTCCTGGCCACTTCAGCAAAATATGGAAGCCTTTCCTAAGGTATGCCCCTGGAAAGAAATAAGCATTTTTGTCCATTCTCCAATGTTCAGATACAGGCCAACACAAGGTTAAATTCAAATTAATAGCAGCCTGAAGGAAGTGGGTGACCAAATTCAAGCGCTCTTCATTTAAACCAGAATAGATCTGCAAAGGAATAGTTTGAACCCTATTTTACACATAACCTTGCAATCCAAGCAAGTCACAATTCTGTAGAGGAGTTACCTGGTATCCTGTGGTGGATCTTTAGTCACAGCTCTAACACCTTCCATTATGTAATTCTGGTATTTTGAGCAGGAAGCTGCATGGCTACGCAGCTTGGAGAGGTACATCTGTACAGAATAAAAATCATGTTTTGAACAAGTTTGAGCAGCTGCTTCAGAATAAACAGAAAAATATGTTTAAGACTACAAAAGGATCCATCTAATCATCTGAGCTGTAAGTCAGGCTGTAAGTCACAATGCATAGGTACAGAAGGGACACAAGAGGCTAAGCTCCTCTGTAACATTGTACGATGGTCTCAGCATCTTACCTGAACCATTATAATACCTTAGAGAGCTGACACACTGTTTACGCGAATGTTCATTGTTAGATCCATGTACTCCCTGAAGATGCAATGGCTATTTTGTTATGTGCCAAATTAGGTCTTACATTCCACACAATGCAATAAACCAGAAGCTGCTAGAACATTAACTGATTTACTTTTTAAATTCTACATTGTGACAGCCTGTGAACTATGCTTTGCACAACTATTCTCATACCAGATGCCATTAAAATAAAAACTACACTCTAGCACAGAAGAAAAATGAAGCTTCACTCCCCCAAACTTCATGTTTCTTGATATAAATTTGTTATCCGAGTTGTTCAGTCATAGCAAAGAACATATGTTGATATTTACCAAAATATTTGAAACATTTCACAGCATCCAGTTTGAATTATTCTTTATAAATCTCCATAATGCTTTATCTTTCATTTGTATTACAAACATGGCATTGCTTATTTTCATTGTACAGATTAGGATAAAATGCAGAGATCAGTTTGCCTAGATACTGCACAGTCCAGCTACATTCTGAACTCCAGTTTAGCAAGTCCAGATCTTGAGCAGTTAAATGATCTAACATTTCTTAATATTAATATTTAACAGTATTGGCTGGAAACCAGGTTTTACTAGGAGCATTTAATACATAACATCTGTGTACAAGAGAAGTCCTATACAAACTATTTTAAGAGATTTAAGCTACACAAATTAGGAAGCTCACATTTGGACTAAAACTAACAATATTTAGTTTGAAAGATCTTAAATGAAATGCCTTTCTTGATTAAAAAAAAATACAGCATTTAATGTTCAACTGCCTACAATGGAAATCATAACAAAGAGAGAACCTGACCACAGAGTATTTTGAAAGACCCCAATATTTCCTGAGCTGCAGTTTACCTGTCCACTGGGCTTTCTACCCCACAGGTCTTCAGTCACTTCCACTTTCTATAGAGATGCCTTCTCATACTGAGAAGATAGCATAAAAGACAATTCTATTCTTGAAAGGACTTTGGTTCAAGGTAGCTACAAAATTGCCAAGTTCTATTCAAGCTGTTAGCTATACTCATAAAAATCAGCATGTTGGTCCCTTAATACATTATGCCACCTTCACCCAAATCCTAAATTAAAGAATTCAACAGATTCAGTTGAAATTGCATTATGACAATACATTATATGAAAATATCACTTTTATGAAACTCATTTCCTATATCACAAAGAGGCAGTAAAGAGTTTCATGAGGTTTTGCATGTATTTTTACCAATTCTACTATACTGTTGGCAAGTGCCATCATTATCTCTACATGCAGCAAGATCTGTGAACTCTAGATTGCTTCTGTAGCCAATGCATCTCATTACAGCAAAACCTGAAAGTCATAATTCCCATGCTCTTTAAATTTTCCAGGAAAAAATATAAAACCACCCCTTATTTTGGCACTCTTTGAATCGACTCATCTGTCCAACTCTGAAATTCCAGTGAGTCTATAAAAATTTGGTAATTAAAGTGAGAAAGCCAAAGTGCAAATTTGCTTCTATCTAAATTCATGTTACATATAGTTACTTGTGGTCCAGTTTTTCATACTTTTTTATTGCAGCCATTGCAAGTAGTCTCTGTCATTTCAATTTGCTTTTCCAAGTCCAGATCTCTGCTGCCATGAGACAGGGTTCTGCGGCAAACTCCACAAACTGGCTTTTTTGGCTTAAGGCATTCCTGAATGCACAGGGTGCAAAAGCTAATATGAAAAAAGAGATAGTATATGAACATTTGCATTGTACAGAATGCAGCCAATGCACCCCTTCCCCATAAGACCAAAGGCAGTCACAATTAGCACATACAGCAACCTATTCATACACAATAGCATAACTTTATGGCAAACAGCTTGTACCACTCTATTTTTAAAACTGAACTTTTAAGACAAGGCAACTTGCCAGCAGCTTCAAATTCCTTTAGAAAGTGTCTGTTAGAACTTAGACTGAGCACAAAGGCCTAAGGCCCTTATAGAAAACTTTATAAAACCAATTTTAATGGCAGCATGTAACACCCATAGTATTTTACTTTTGACAGTATGTAAGACAAGCCACTACTATAACAGTATGGTATAATACCACACTTTAGTGGCAAGTTACCTGCATCTTATATACAGGTTAATACCTCCAGCATAAGCTTCACTAATGGTATCTTCAACTAGCAGGGCTAGAAATATAATATGCAGTCTAGGGTTCTATAAGTTTAGTATCTAATATCAAAGTTAGCACAACAATAAACAAACATTAGAAGAGGTGAGGCACCCAGGATTCTACTTGCAGCAATGAGTGCTTCCTTAGTAATTATGCAGTGTACAACTACAATTCTTATTTACTTGCACAGAACAGGGACAAGATATAATCCATAGTATTCTTGTACAACTGACAGAATTTGGTCACGTATATTGGGCTATGCATCTACAGCAAAGATGAAAAGGCTCAGAAATAATGGTTTTCTGGCCTTTACATGTAATCAAGAACATTTCTATAACAAAAGCCTATTTGTCATAAATGCTGTGCTGCAAAGCATTTATGAAATCAATATTATTCACACGTCAGTAGTAAAGGATAGCATTTGTAGTAAATTGGTGATTTCCAGGGTCAGAAAAATATGGTGACTGAAATTCTTCAAAAGTTAGGTGCCAAACATTTGTTTTCTGACTTTTCAATAATATACAAAGTTGGCCAATTTTTCATGCTGGTTCTTTGGTGCCTTGTCCTCTCTGGGTCATTGCCCTACACATGAACCCTATGTAGCCAACAAAATGCCTCCACAAAAACCAGCATAATTCTTTCAGTGATATTCAGATTAAATCATTTGAATATACTTAATGTTCATTTCTCATACAAAAGTGCTACTAATCCATTCTTTTATCCCATTCAAACTGTAAGGCTCTACTATACCTATGAATCATTTTAAATGTCTATTATAAAATATTAATGCTCAGCTTTGCCCCTCACCAGTAAGAATTATGTACTTTAGCAGGAATGATACTTGCTGTCTTAAGTGCCCTTGGCTTCTTTTCCTGTAATCTGCACTTCCCAGAACTCTTGGACATATGCCTACTGAATTGACCTAGATTTTTCATTATATATTCTCTAGAATGTGTTCAAAAATGAAGCAATTTAGGCATATCTAAATACCAGTGAAATCAATGGAATATGACACATCTATATGCGCTTATTCCTTGTCTCACTTGTATTTCCCAGAAACTTTATTTGCTCCTTGCTGGGGCTTTCTAGTCCAAAGAAAGGATTTCCACTTTCATTTTCAAGCAACAAAATTGAAGGCTGGTCAGGAGTTCCCCTCACATTTCAAGAAAGCTTCCAATTCTACATCTTTATGCATTGGGTAAAAACAGCAAAGCAAAATTCCTTATTAAGTGGAACAGAATTACAGAAGTAGAACTGAGTGGGATTTTGAGCCTGGTTCTCTCATATCCACTAAAGAGCAACAGCAGGAGGTTCCACAAGCTCCAAGGTTAAAATGCTAAACAGCTAGTGAGTAGACAGGCAAATGTGTATCAGCTTCCCTGAAACAGCAGAAAGAAATTGCATGTGGTCTACGGAAAACTGAAGGACAATTGTTTGCATGAAGCCTCAAACAGTCTTTTCCACCCTTCTACAGGGATGTGGGGGCGGGGCATTTTCTAGAGCTGCATTTCTTTCGTAGAAAATTCTGTTTCAAATTCATTAGCAACAATAAATAGGTGCCAATGGAAAATACAATTATCAGGCAATCTTGGCAATTTCTAAACTAATTCATTATACCTCACAAGTATAAGAGTATACAGATATCTCACAGTATGAAATGGAACTTCGTTAGTCACAAAGTCGTGCCCCATGGACAACATTCCTCCAGGCCTTCCTGTCCTCCACCATCCCCCAGAGTCCACTTAAGCTCACACCAACTGCCTCAGTGACTCCATCCAGCCACCTCATTCTCTGCCTTCCCTTCTTCTTTTGCCATCTATTGTTCCCAGCATTAGGCTCTTCTCCAGGGAGTCCTTCCTTCTCATTAGGTGGCCAAAGTATGTGTTTCATCTTCAGTATCTGGCCTTCTAAAGAGCAGTCAGGGTTGATCTCCTCTAGGACTGACTGGTTTGTTTGCCTTGTGGTCCAAGGGACTCGCAGGAGTCTTCTCCAGCACCACAATTGAAAGGCTTCAATTCTTTGGTGCTCAGCCTTCCTTATGGAACTAACTTGGTTTTATTACTTGTTGAAATGCAACTAACAAGTAACAAAACCAAGACTGAAGTTGCCGCAACAAACTTTGCGGAAGAAAGCTGGATTCTTGTTAACATAGATGAGCAAATGTATCTTGCACAGTTTTGAGTTGTTGGAAATAATAACTGGAACCTTCCCTAAACTGGTAACTTCCAGATGTGTTGGCCTACAACTCCTAGCATCCCCAGCAAGTTATACAATTCAAAGATGCTAGGAATTGAAGTTCAACATACCTGGAGGGCACAGCTCTCAGTATCTTTTAGCTGGCATTGCTGGCTAGGGATGGTGGGAGTTGTAGGCCAACACAAGAACCCTGAAGAGTACTAGGTCAGGGATGGCCAAATTAGTATCTCAAAAGTTTCCAGCACTTGTTTCTTCCTTATATCAGTGGAATGTAAGGGAAGTACAAGAGTACTGTCTTTCAATTTTCACTCCAACAAGTGTCTAACATTTGAATCATATCACATGTACCACTCTTTCCCCCACTTCGAACATGTCAGGTCAAACACCTACAATGCACTGAAACAAAAAAGCAACATAGGGTGATTCAGCTCTATTGCTTATTTTTATTTAATAAAGATGTTAACTTAGCCTACTTTCCATTAACTTTCTAGTACAAATAAAGTTTTTTAAAAAGGCATCATTGTCCTAATAGGTGATCTCTTCTACATGAAGTCCACTCAGTAGTTATCAGTGCTTCCTCTTGCCTCTCTACTCTTCTCTTAAGAGTATTTCCCTTCATATAAAATATTTTGTATGTTCAGCCATTAACTACCAGCCCTCATTTCTGGAAAGCTCTAGGAACACAGCACTCTCTAAGCAGAAACACAAGGGCTGCAATGAGTCAAAGTTCTGGATTGTTTACCCTCTTGGTTTGATGTCAAACTGATGAACAGAAATAGTTGCAGAATACAGGAGAAGGTGGAAAAACCATGCCTTCCTATGGGAAAGTAAATATTCCACCTTACTGCTTTAGTATCTGGGCTTGTAATGGAAAAGAAAGTACAAGAGCAACACGAATTTGATCAGAAAGCACAACCCCTCTCAAGGAAATAAGAACTGAAAGTTTACAGCAGAAGTTAACCTGTTTTAAATTACTAGATTGGTCAGTTAGCTGTTAGTGTATAAAAAGATAGACTAAGAGAGCAATTTCAAAGTAACTGAAATAGTGCTAAGTCTTCACCACCATTCCGCTGCCCCAGCTATCACTAGAAATGGAAGCTATTACCTTATTATATCCAACTAAATTTGTTTAACAGAAGCCAATAATTCTCCATCAAACTTTACATTTAAAAAGCCATCCAATACATGCACATTAGTATTTAAAGCAGAACTTGGTATTTGCAGCCAAGAATCACACTGAGGTAAATCAAGTTGCCTTATCCACAAATGCCTCCACAATTACCTTCAAGAGAACATTTCAAGAATAGTTAGTACTAAAACATATGGCACCAAGCAATTAAATGCACCTCCTCTAATTAGACTTCTTTAATTGAATAGTAAAAGGAATGTACTACACAGCACACAGGAAAAACCACAACATACTCCAGAAACCTATTGGAATACATTTTAACACAACCACACATAGTCTTTCAGATTTTCAACTGCTTCCAACTGGACAAAGGGCACCGACAAGCTTGACAGAAAGAAAAATATTTGGGCCTACAGAATCATAACTCCTATTCCACATAAACTTAGTCCGGGGAACAATTCATAAACAGTCACACCTGTTTTCATTTCCCAGCATTCTAAATTGCCACTCTTGGTATCCATTTAATATCACAGCTAAAGTAAAAGTAAAAGTAGTGACATGCTGATCACTAATTACATTTCGAAATTACTGTTAGTCTGTCGTTTTTTAGAAACTTTAACTTAAGACTGACAGAATCCCTGCTACAGCCAGAGCCTCCTTGCTGCTTTGCTGTGGTGTAACTTTCCTATTGTTTTTCACAGACACCTCTCTTGATATATGTCTGAATTACCTGTTGAAACCTTAATTTAAGGGACCTCCCCCTACGCCACCTTGCTTTGCAACTTAAATCCACTCTACACCAGAGCCAAAGCTTTATGTGAGACAGCCAGTCCCGGGGCTGCGCCAGGACCGGGGAGCCTGCATTCAGGGTTTCTCTCTACCGCCGGGGCCACCTTGCCCCCTTCAGCTCTAATGTCAGTTCCTACAGCTGAGGCCGGCTTCCGCCCGGCTCCCCCCCCCCGCACCCCTCGTCACCATGGTTACCCGCCTCCTCACACTCCCTCTGCTGCCGGGCCTGCCCGTGTCCAGCCGCGCCTTCGCCGCGCGACACTCACACATGACCGCAGGGCGCTCGCACGGGGTTCTCGAACACCTCCAGGCACACGGGGCACGTGAAGCGGGAGAGCGGGTCCAGCCGCTCGGGGGCAGCTGCCCCCTCCGGGTACCTAGCATTCGCCTCAGCCCGCGCCATCTTCCTAGACTCACTTCCGCGAAGCCCCCTCGGCGGGCGGAGATCCGCCCTCCAGAACAGCTGCGTGAGGACGATGGCGGCCTAAATGAGCCATAGCATCGAGGCCACGCCCACTAAGTCGGCAGGGGAGAGAGTGCGCACGCGCGCTGGTGCAGTGAGTGAGTTTATGTGTGAGAGAGAGAGTGTGTGTGTGTGTCCTGTCGTGGCTAAAGGGCGTCTTGAAGATCGGTTTTGTTACTTTTCCTTTGGGGCAGGGTTGTAAAGGTTGGGATGTGGATAGATGGATGGCGAGAGAAGCTGGCAGGAGGTGACCAAAATAGGCAGCTTCGCAGTGGAGCACCTACTGGCTTAAGGATAACCTGATAGAAATCGGGCGCGCACTGTAATATTTTCGAATCCCTTCTCTGTTCAATTAAACAATAATTTATTTTATTTATTGCATTTATATACCACCCCAAGTAGCCCAGAGGGCTCTCTGGGTGGTTTACAAACATTAAAACCCAAAATACATTGTCCAGTTCTAAACAAATAAATAAATTGGCTACACCACGACCCAGTATAAAACAAAACATGGTTAAAATGAATTAAATAAATATACCATTAAAATTAGTTAACTTTAAAATATTAGTTAAATAAAAAGATTTTGACCTGGCTCCGAAAAGCATATAATGATGGCGCCAGGCGGATCTCTCTAGGGAGCACACTCCATAGTCGGGGCGCCACTGCAGAGAAAGCTCTCCTCTGAGTACTCTGTCTCTTAACCTCTTTCAAAGAGGGTTCCCAGAGGAGGGCCTCTGCTGCCAATCTTAGGCGGCGGGAGGGTATATAGGGAAAAAGGCGTTCCTTTAGGTATCCTGGTTCCAAGCCATTTCGGGCTTTAAGGTAATAACCAACACCTTGAATTGAGCCCAGACTTCAATGGGAAGCCAATGGAGCTGATTGAGGACGGGTTATATGAGAATAACAACCAGTCCCCGACAGCATCCTGGCAGCTCTGTTTTGCACCAGCTGACGTATCTGGACTGTCTTCAAGGGCAGCCCCACGTAGAGCACATTACAGTAGTCCAAATGGGAGGTAACCAGTGCATATGTCACTGTTGCCAGGCAGTTCTCCTCCAGGTAAGGATGCAGCTGATGGATCAGCCGGAGTGTAGGAAAGCGCTCCTTGCCACCCTGTCACCTGGGCTTCCAGGGACAGTTCTGGGTCGAGGAGCACTCCTAAGCTGTGGACCCTGTCCTTTAGAGGGAGTGCAACCCCGTCCAGGGCAGGGCCCAGGTCACTTACCCGGAAACTCAAATCACTTACCAACAGGAGCTCTGTCTTACCTGGATTGAACTTCAGTTTATTTGCCCTCATCCAGCCCATTACCTCGGCCAGGCACCGGTTCAGGACAGCCATTGCCTCACCTGGATTAGTTGAAAAGGAAAGGTAGACCTGGGTGTCATCAGCATACTGATGACTCCACAGCCCAAACCTCCTGATGACCTCTCCCAGCAGTTTCATGTAGATGTTAAATAGCAAGGGGGACAAACTGTAGCCCTGCGGTACTCCATGGCAGAGTTGCCATGGTACAGAGCCAAAGTCCCCCAGCACCACCTTCTGGAATCCGTCGGCAAGGTAGGAGAGGAACCACTGCCAAGCAGTGCCTCCTATTCCCAGTCCCGACAGCCTATCCAGAAAGTTACCATCGTTGATGGTATCAAAAGCTGCTGAGAGGTCCAGGAGAAGCAACAGGGATGCACTCCCCCTGTCCCTTTCCCTGCACAGGTCATCATACAAGGCAACTAAGGCAGATTCAGTACCATAACCAGGTCTGAAGCCGGACTGAAATGGGTCTAGATAATCAGTTTCATCCAAGAGTGCTTGGAGTTGTCCCGCCACCACCCGCTCTAGCAACTTGCCCAGAAACGCAATGTTGGCCACCGGTCTATAATTGGCGGCCATCTCTGGATCCCGGGATGCCTTTTTAGGACAGGCCTGATCATTGCCTCCTTTAAAGAAGCAGAATAATGACGGTTATGCTAGTGAAATCCTTAGAGAGAGCCTAGTCCCATTACTCCACCATAGGTCCTAGAGTTTATAGATGGAGATCTATCATAAATGCAATGGGTCTGATTGTGTTGAAGAGTCTTTCAGAGGTGGTATGTGTGTGTGTGGTGGAGGGGGGGTGGTCAGTGGGACTGAAGCCTGGGGGATTCCTGGGAGACTCTGCTGCACCAAATACAGCTACAAGGCCCCGATAATCTCTGTTCTTTCTGATCTCCCTTGATTAGCTGGATTTTTGCACACACATACTTCACTTCTTGGTGCCCAACCCTTTGAATCTCCCTGTGAGGCCGTAATATTTGCAGCAAGCTGTAGTGTGTACAAAATCAGAGTGTGTCTGTATTGCTGCTTACAAACAGATCTTGCAACAAGCTTCATGGACTGTCGCTTTCACATGCAGTCTTCCATGGTTTCTCTCAGAGGTAGTATTATGAAAATCATAGCTGTAGGAAAAGAGGTCACAGTGCAACATTTTGTACTCATAGACAATATGTTTATTGAGGTTCTTAAACTGTGTTCTAACTTGGATCTATTTTAATTAACTTAAGAAAGTAAAATTGATAATTGATCAGAAAACAAGATACATTGGGAAAGCATCCACGGTTGTTAGCAGATATATGAAGCTGCTTGAAGCACTGTTGCTGAATGGCAGTGAGATAATCACTGCTTTAGAACTGAGGACTACTACTGTTGTTTTCTTGCTATATTTGGAATTCCAACTGACTGACCACATTTAAGGGGTCTAAGTGCTGTTTCTTGTTTGTTTTTTGTTTTTGTTTTAGTATGTGCATTTTGTTGTGCTTCATACAAAGAGTGGACATGACTTTGCAGGTAGTCTTATTCTATCCTCTTTTATCAGCCTTCTTTGATGGCCACACTCACATTTCTCCCGCAATTTGAACCTAGTGCTTCCCAGTGAGTAGACTGGGGTATGGGTCTCAAAAATAGAGGTAAAAATGCTTGATCTCTAGTTTCATAACCAGATCTAATCAACTTCATATTTTCAGTCTCACAAACCAAACAGTTTTATTTTCCTTGCTTGTTAGTTGCTCTATCGTACTGTAGCACAATTTTAATGTTCTTTTGTGTGTGTTTGCTTGCTTGCTTTTAAATAGCCCATTCAGCACAGGATTAATTGCAGATAAACTCACTTCAGAATAAACATAGTTTGTATTAGCAATCCTAAATGTATAATTACACTGTCAATTGTACTCCTGTTTAGCTGCAACCCACATCTATAGTGTACTTAGCATGAGGGTGGCAGTCCCTACCCTGATTAGCTAGTAAGTCTTACCCTGGCTTCATATGAAACTTATGACTAACGGGAATACCAAAGCTGTAAGAGAATATTACTTGAGGACACATGTATCAGTGGACATACAGGAGATCAGTATTCAAGACAAGATGGGATAAGAATGGGAACGGGAAAAAAATAATTTGTAATTTGGGAGATTTCTCATCTGTTAGGTAACTGTAGGTATTTGTCATTGTTAGCCGCAGGTCAGCTTCTGATGATTTTTGTTTTGATTCTATATGCTGTTTCTTGCAGTATGACAGGGAACATACATTGGTTTGTATGTGAACAGATGCTTTGCGTAGGTGATGCAGTGTAGGTGGGGTGGAGAGAAAAATCAGTTGATGGAAGAATGGAAATTGCAGACAAGAGCATCACAGTAATTGGAGCTTGCTTTCATGTATAAGGAGTTTGGAAGGGAAGAGTTTCCCTCCCTACAGAGAAAACCTGTTGGAACCTCTACGGGTCGTGTGCACAGACACTCACTTCACCCCACCAAGGGACTCCCATCATCCAGTGAACAGGCTCTAATCACAACACTGCCCATGACAATATTTGTCTTTCACACATAGGGGTGAATGATAGCCAGAAAGTAAAAGAGGGCACTTGGAGGACCTGAGGTGGGAGCTAAACCGGTTCCTTAATCCTAATGGACCCAGTGCCTGGAGATACAAATAAACTAGATCCCTTTTATTTAATTAATTTCATAGACTTCTTTGTTGTCCCTGATTGTTTTCATCTTAGCGTTTGTTTGTTTGTTTGTTTGTTTAAAACATTTATATGCTGTCCTTCACTATCGCGTCTCAGGACGGCTTACAAGATTAAAAGCAATAGTCATAAAAACAATCAATAAACCAGTACAATAAAATTACTGTAAACCTATACAGATAAATCAAATCAAAAGTGACTGTGAACCACTAAAATGCTAATTTTTAAAATAACGATTAAATAAAAAGGTTTTGGCCTGGTGCCAAAAAGAGTACAAACTTGGCGCCAGGTGTTCCTCTCTGGCAAGAACATTCCAGAGTCTGGGCGCCACAGCAGAGAAGGCCCTACTCTGAGCAGATGTCCTTTTTACCTCTCTTAGAGAGGGTTCTCGGAGCAGGGCTTCTCCCGCAGATCTTAAGGGGCCTGAGGGCATATAAGGAAGGAGATGTTCCTCCAGGTATCCTGGTCCCAAGTTGTTCAGGGCTTTATAGGTCAAAACCAGCACCTTGAATTGGGCCCAGACTTAGCGTTGTCAAGTCACAGTCATGGCTTCCTTCGGGTTCTCATTTTTGTTTCCAGGGAAGGTTCTGGAGTTTACTGCCCTACAATTCCAGGCTCTCCATGCCTGTCTACTTCCTCCTACTCAATCATGTGTAATTTGCCCAGCTCCCAGGTTTGCTGGTTGGTTTTGCCTTTTCTACTTTCTCCTTAATTCCTTCTTTTTTCACTTTTTGTTGCCACCACCCAAGATTAAACTAGTACCAACACTGGGCACATAGAGACTTCATAAAACTTTGTGGGTTTTCTGTTTTGCTTTTGCTTTCCTTTGACAAAAGTTGAGCTGTCAGTAGAAACAAAGGGCACAAGAGATGAAAAGGGTTGGTCCAATTCATATCACCCCTGCAGCAGGATGACCCACTTTTTTCATCCTAATAATTTGTAGGGTTGTATACATTTTGCACTTTTCCCAACATTCTAGATGCTCAGAAAAGTGTAAACGTACTTCTCATCCCCCTTTTCTGGGGAAAAGTA